GGCTCATAGCCCACTACACTGTTTACAAAACAGATGGAGGCAGAGGGAATATAAACTTACTTTGCCCTGTCTTAAGCCTGATGCTCAGATGAGATGTGGACCAAAGATTCATCTAAATCGCTCATCTCTTTCTGAAACTCTGTAACTGGCACTAAACCCCACCTTGCTTGATGGTGGTGGACACCAGCACCTGAGCTGGACCAGGTCAAGTAACTCATGGCACAGAAACCAACCTGCCAGGTGATGCCCACCTAAGGAGCAGTGCTATTACTCAGTAACTCTTTAGCTACAGAATGTCATACTTGAGAGAGAGAAGACACATAACTGCAATGCTAAGTGTCCCTGTGTGCGTATTAGGAGAGGGTGGAGCAGACTGTCACTCAGCTGTGTTTAATTAACATAGGATTTTCTCTAATGTATTTATTTAGTATGTAATGAGGTGATGAAGCAGAATGCTTGCTAGTAACATTGAGTCCATAACCCAGCACTGCTGAGAGTTAAACATGCACCTTTGCAGGTAATTAATCTCCTTGCCCTGCTTATTTTGCTAGTTGGCACTTGCTAAATCCCTGTAAAACCACACCCAGCCGTGCTGTGTATTATCCCTCTGCTGTCTATTCCTACATATGGTCAAAATCAACTTACCTTCCGGGTTGCTGACATCAGCAAAATGTACTCTTGGCAAAGTACAGTATCCTCCTAGTAACCCTTTGTTTAGTTGGTGTTGTTACAGTTGTATTCCTCTGACAGCAGCAAACACCATCTAACCGGTGCCTACCTTGACAGTTGGATTTTCTTGTGAAGGGAGATCACCATATAACCCCATTTTAAACACTAAAACAAACCCCTCATGATAAAATGCATATAATATGGGCAGAAAAAAAGCTGGAGGAATGATACTTCTATGCTTCCTGTAAGGAACTGACCCACATTAGTCGCAAGTTTCAGGGTATCATTTTGATAACAGTAAAGGTGTATATGTATCCAATCGTTATCTTGTGAAGTGAGCTTTAATAGGACTACTGCTTGTTTCTAGTTTAATGAGAAAAGACACTTTTAACACTGCTCTAAAAAGTTACCACTCACTAATGATGAATTTCTAATATTTCTGGCTGTCTTTTGATAGCATCTATTTCCTCTTGGCTGTTTGGCTCTAGGCAGCAAGCAGGAAAACATCTGGTCTCCCTGCAAATACATGCTTATTAAACTACAAGAATTGGGCACAGTGTTGAAAACCCTGGTATAATAATTGTGTCTGTCCCCACCCCCCCCCCCACGAGTTAAGCAGCATGTTTCTAAGACGTGTTTATATTGTCATTGTACTAAACCCTAAGTTATTTTATTAAAAGTACATGGGAAGCACCAGAAAAGTTGGTCTTTTCATTAAGTGGCTGAAAACAAGCAATAGGAGTTGCTGTTTCTCAGCAAGTTGCTTTTATTTCCCACTAGGCTGTTTTCCTATTTCTAAAAAGCTTAGAACTGTGACCCCCAAAAGGATTTAGAGAGGAAGGGTTAGAAAATTATTTTACTGTTGACAGCAGCATTGTTATAAGTACTCACAACCAAGGATCACCTCCTACCTAGGAAGGAACACAGGTGAACATCATTGCTGGTTTTGAAGCCTAAAACATATTTTGTTTTGGGGTTTAAGACAACCACTTGCCTGATCTTCTTGAGGGCATTAATAAGAAAAACATGTCAGATCAAGTAACCAGTTGCCCCAGTTATGGAGCAACTTCATGCACTGGCTTTCTACCCCGCTACATGCCATCTAAACTGGGCCAGTAGAATACAGCAGGCAAACTGGTCAGGTTAAACTACGAGCTACTTCCAGACAACCCAAAAAGTTGCTTCAGTTTAGCAACGAGGATTCAACTACTCCCTCTCCTCCTCACCCACTCTCCAAGAGCAAGTTGAATAGAATCCCTACCATCAGAGTTCAGCACAAAGGGCATTTTCCCAACTCAGGTACTATCAAAACAAAAAGTGTGAGGGGGGAAATGCATTTTAATTCTTTTATTTTTTCTTAAATATAATAGAACCTTCTAGATTTTTTTTTCCAGAAACAGAAACATTAAAAAATTATACTTTATTACAAATGGTAAACTCAGAGTGCTAAAAAAAAGCCTCTTATTTACAAACAATACTGGGCAGTGCCCAAATAAACAACATAAAAATAACTTACAAAGTCATGAAGTAGTTTATTGACATTAATCAACTTTCATAAAATAAAATAAAAAAGGATCTGTACATACACAATTGACTCAAGGCAGGCAGAATAGTTCTGGGGTTGTTTATCAGCCTCCCACAAACCTCCCTCCCACTTGGTTTTGTTTTGTTTCTTAAGGAATACTACATAAAGCAATCTACAGTTTCTATTGCAGTTTAACCTTTAATACTGAATGATCATCGAATGTTAGGTCCATGCAGGTCTTGGTCAATGTTAAACGAAGATCTGACATCTCACCGGAGCAGGAACAGCACTTCTCGGCGTGGTGCTGGCCGCTCTCTCGAGCTGAAGGCTCACCAGTCTTTCCACACATGCGCTTTGCAGAGCACAGGCAGGACTCAGCCTTTCAGCTTTTGCCATCAGCTTTACGCATCTGCCACTTTTGGTGGGGTTTGTTTTTTGTTTGTTTTAGTTATACCATAATCTCACAGTTCTCATTTAAGACAGTCTCTTCAAAACGTCTGCAACTGCTGTGTTAGCATTAGCTGGCACCCGCTGTTGACATGGTTCATGACCTTCTGCTTAAGCTGTGCAACCTGTTCTCTGAGCATGTTGGCAGTGGATGCCAGCTCTGAGTTCTGGGCTTTCAAAGTTTTCACTTTTTCTTCCAACCTGGCAATCCTTTCCAACTTCCTTTTCCGGCATTTGGATGCTGCAATTCTGTTTCTCATGCGTTTTCTCTCGGCTTTGATTCTCTCCTGTGACTCCATGTCAATAGGGGACAGGGGAGGAGTTTCCCCTGGCATTTCAGGTACAGTCTGAGGCTCTTCTTTCAAAGCCTGCAGCCTGGGATGCTGCACCGGCATCTGGGGGTTTATGTGATGCTGGGGTGCGTAGCCCATGTTGTTCGCGTTGTAGTTAGGTGCGGAGTTGAGCGCGTTGGGGTTGAAGTTGCTGAGATTGGCGTACACCGGGGGCTCACTGTGCAAATTTGTGTTGAAACTACTGTTGCCGGCCATGGAGGACACAGGTGCCATGCCGCTGTTCACAGGTTGAGCAGCGGAGGTCACGCTGGGCATAGTGTTCTGGTTGTGCAGTTCCGCCAGCGCTCTCACGAAGCCTTCCGCGAAGCCTTCTTGCTCGTCGGTGACATTTTTGGGGCAGAGGAACTGCGTCGGGGTCGGCGTGGTAGTGATTAACCCATTGCTGGACTGGATAATGAGCCGCTCCAGTTCAGGCGAGGCTAGTTTCAAGAGTCCCACGTCCGGGGAGGTGAGGATGTCGGCGTTCTTGTTTCTCAGGTGCGGCTTCAGGTTGCTGGATGGGTCGGACAGGTTCAGCGTCATGTTCTGCTTCAGCACTTTGGCGTTATTATATCCATACCCGCCGCTCTCCGGCGGCACGAAGCTGGCGTTCAGGGCATCCTCGTAGAAAGTAGGCTCCATCTTTGCACTCATAGAACAGAGTCCGCGGAGTGGCGCCGGGAGCTGCGGCAGCGCCGAGAAGCCGCCCGGCCGCCGCTTGCGCCCCGCTCCGCCACCCCAAACCCTCCCGGCCGCGCAGGGAGCGGGAACGGGGAAAGCAGAGCCTTACTTCAGGCCGGGGCGCGGAGAGCTCTCCCGGCGCGGGCCGGGCCCGCGGTGCCTGCGGCCGCCGCGCTGAGAGTCCGCCCGGTGTAGCTGAGCGGCGCGGGGCTCCGGCGCGGTGCTTGGTCCCCCTCCTCCTGCTGCTGCGGGGCCGCTCCGCCGCCACAAGTTGCCGCGAGAACTTTGTCCGCTTCCCTGCGCGCCCTCCCGGCTCCGCTGTGCCGCCGCGCTCTGCTCGCCTCTACCCAACGGCCACAGCCGCGCTCCCGCCTGCCCGCCCCGCGCTCTGAGCCCGCTCCCGGCGTGGAGCCCTTCACTTATCAGCGACCGGGAGCCCGCTAAAAATAGCCCATGATGTCACCCCGCGGGCTCCCCATTGGCTGCCGCCGCCTCTCCCGGGGGAGGCGGGCCGCTGGCCCGGCCCGGTGCGGATCAGCCGGTCGCCATGGCCACCCCGCCCCTAGAAGCTTCTGAGCGCGGGCGCGGGGCCTTGTGGGATGAGGTAATGCTGGCGGCGGCTCGGGGCATTGTGGGCTGACGTCTTGTTTTTGAATAGCTGGTTACCGCGTACACAGCGCGCACCGGGTTGGCCGCCGCCGGCGCCTCCTTAACGGACGCGTACCAACCGCCCCACCGGGAGGGGGGGTTGTGAGGAGAAGCCGCTGCCCCCTTTTCGCCCCTAGGCTTCATCCCGTAACCCATCACCGGCAAGCAGCCGCCTCGCTCTCGGTTTGTCGTCTGTTTGCCCGCCGGCCGGTCCCCGCGGCGGGCTGTGCGCTGGCGGGTTCCTGCCTGTTGCTCCCCCCCCACCTCACACCCCTCCGCCGGCGGTGGTGGTACGGCCCTTCAGGTTGTGCTTCGGGGGAGGCCTCACGTGATTTCCCTTCCTCACCGTCCGTGCGGCTTCCAGGCAGCGCTGGGGGCGGTGCTCGGGGCCGGGGCGGGCACCAACCGCCGCGGGGCGGCCCCCGCCTACGCGCCCGCCCCGCTGAGGGGCCTCAGCGCCTCACGCCATCCCCCCGTCCCCTCCTTGTCCTCCCGCCGGCCGGGCGCGCCCGGGGCTGGCGGCCGCGGAGGCCTCGCCCTCGCTCTCGTCCGCCTTCACCCCCGGGGGAGCCCCGCCGTGCGGGAAGGGCCTCCCGGCTCCCGGGGCGCCGCCAACGCTGCCGGCTGTGAGGTGGGGGGGGGGACGGCCAGCAGCGCTGTGGGGCCGTGTGGGCCTCCCTTCCTCCGTCTGATACCGCCTGGTCGCTGTGGGGTGTCGGCGAGGGCACGGCTTGTGGTGGGGGTTGTCGGGTCCTGGCCTCAAAACCGCGCCAGGACGGCAGAGGAGGAGAGGGGATGTAAAGCCTACAGGAAAAATCCCGGCTCCAGATGGGCTTCCCTAAAGTCGTCCTCCAAGGGGAGGGGACAGCACGGCCTAATTTTAGACAGAGTGCCCTAGTATTACCGTGGATGTACAGGTTAGTCGGGAGGGAGAATAAAGCCTGGAGTTGAAGCATTCTAGTCGAGGAGGAGAGTTTGCGCTGGCATGTTCACCTGGGAGTAACAGATGGGTGATACCTGGTTCGCTGTGACTGCTCCACGCTGAACGTGGCGTGCACATCCCTCATAAAATAATCCTGCTGCCTGGGTTCATTTCTCTTACCTTTCCCCTCCACGCCCTTCTCTCTGGGAGGTGTGAAGTTGTGAATGCTGACAGGCCTCTGGAATAAAGTGCATCAGCTGTTTAAGGACCCGAGATGGCAACACTGGGTAGGACAGGGACTGAAGCAGTTTACTGTTGCTAACAGTGCAACAAGTGCTCCTTAGGCTTGCAACACAAAGCTGATGTTACATGTTGTAGGATAGACCAGTGAAGAGCTTGGTCTATCAGGTTTAATCACTCGTTACGATAGGTGAAGCTGACAAACTTCTGTCTAGGTTTGAAAATACACTTTCAAATTCTCTGGTGCTATTTTTTCCTAGACATAATGACATAATTACCAGTTATGGTGTAGGAAGCAACAATGAAGCAAACAGAAACAAGGGCAGCTGCGACACAGAAGTGAAGGTCTGGCTCCCCTGTTTGAACTTGCACATTTATTTTCTCTGTTTCCCCTGGGTGTTCCCACCTGGCTTCATCTGACCACACGGTGGGCCCTCGTGTTACTTTGTGTGAGAACTGGGACTGTGCAAGTAATACCTGCACTTCTCTATGCTTGCGTTAACAGCCCGTGGCATGAAATGCAAAGCTTTGGCCGGGAAGGGAGGGCTTGCTGCATGTTGCTGGTATACACACAGCCTTCACACAGGCAGCATCTGCCTGTCTTGTAGGTAACTGAGACTCAAACTGCTGTTGGAGCATCAGCTGCCAATGGCTTAGCCAGAGAGCAGTGAGTTGTTGCATATGCATAAGAATCTCTGAAATTCATTAGTGCGGTGAACGCTAGAAGCAGTTGTTTAACTCCTTTTTAAGCTTTACATAAAGATAAATAGAGGCTGGTGACTGACTCTTATGGCACAAGAGCCAAGGGGCATCAAATGAAGCTGGCAGGTTCAGAATAAACCAGAGAAATGTCTTCACAGAAATGCAGCTCAGCTGTGGAACTCCTTGGCAAGAGTGCTGTGTGGACTCAGGGACTCTAAAGTGATTAGGTGAATTCACAGCACAGAAATCACTTGAGGGCTATCAAATACAGCCTGTTGGCTCTGGAAAGCCCAAAGCTTGTGCCTGGGAGAGCATCCTGAAGCAAACCTGCTGTGTGGTGCCCTGATTTTGTGTGCCTCTCCAGGTATCTGTTCTTGGCTCCTGGCTGAGATAGGGGATCTGGTCTGACCTGACGTGGCTGGCCTTGCTGTGCTCAAACTCCCCCGAGATAGCCCATGAAAGATCTGTGTTGTGTCTCGGTGCATTTCTGGTCTTTATAAAGGGCTTGTCTATGCAAAGAAGAAATTCTGGAGAAACGTAAGGAGTGAATTTTGAGTAGTTTGCTGTGTGGATCGTGTTTCTTATGAAATAAGAATTATTTTAGAATTAAGCTAAAAAGCTTTTGTTTTGGTTTTTTTTTCTGGCTTCTGTTACATAGGAAGCCATGCAAATACTTCGCTTCAGTCACTTTTCTGTATTGACAATACTAATTTTGTTCTGATTAATTGCCATATTTAATGTGTTAGAATTTCATTGGTTTGGTTTATCTTTTGGGGGCTTCTCTGCATGTCTCCTTTGTCCTAGAAAGCCAAGGAACATGGTCAGTGTAGCTTTAATCACTCTAATATATATTTGTATCAGCTGAAAAGCTCTGCCTCTGTAGTTTGTCCAGTTCAGCCCCATTCTATCAAATGCAGGTTTTTCATTAGCTTCAGTGTGTGTTAGATCGAGCTGGAGGGATTCATTTAAAGTCATTTAATGTCTTCTCCTTTTTTTTCCTTATCCTCCACCCATTTTAGTTTTCGACTTCCTTCCTTTTGCAGAGGTGGAGTTTCAGGACCAGACATTCCAGTTTGCCAGAGACGTGTTGCTACCGAGGCCTGTAGCTATGGGGGACACCCATCAGTCCACTCATTATGTTAATTGCTACTCACTTAGAGGTTATTTGGCCGAGGCCGGCAACAGACAGTCGAGCTGGTCAGAAAGGTTGTGCATAGCAGGCGAGAGCTCTGAAATCAAAGCCAAATGCTCTTTGCTGCTCCGAGGGGATTTTCTGCCTAATTCGGGACGAGACTGGTGAGCGGGTGCTTAGGGAGGTCTCAGCTTAGATTTCAGCCAAGTGCCCCAAGTTCTGCCCCTGAGACTCACTGAGTGCTGCCCATGAACAGTGATCCTTCCTGGCCATTAGCCAAGGAGCTGGGAATTTTGGTGACTATGCCCTGATTTCTTGAACACCTCTTACTTTAGGGCTTTCCCCCCCTCCTTTCCTGGTGTCCTTAAGTGAATATTCCTTTAGTAGCATGAAGGAAGAATTACAAACCCATTTATAAACCATAGCCATTTACATATCTCACTAACCTAGCTTGTGGGTAGGGATTGAAATGAACTATCTCTCTGTTGCTGTGAGAAGCAGACGCATGGAGCAGCAGTACTGCAGATTTTGATTTATAAAGTTCTCTAATCAATCAATGCAAGCCTTGAGTGAAGCAATCAGATCATCTGAATAATTAAATGGCTTTTCAGGGACAAATTAAAATTTCTTATACATACCACATCCATCTAAATGATATTTGGTGACCAGGAATAAATGGATTTGTTGTTTTCTTCCCCTCCTGTAGCACAAATGCTTTTGGCTTATTTCTAGACCATTTGTGAAAGAAAGAAGAAGGGGTAAATGACAGATTCTGTTCTTTTATATTGGAAAAGGTGCTCATGGAAAGGAAATACTTATTTTCATACAGTTTTCTTCTTTTTTTAAACTTTACTATATTCCACTGTCTTGCTTTTTCCCCTCAGCAGAGATGTTTCCACAATATTCTTCTTATATAGACAATTATTTTCGTGATATAGGGTATATTTAAACTCCGTGCATTCAAATGTGACATCCTGTTTCACCTCTGCATGAGCTAAGTAAGAGTGGGTATTACTGGGTCTTCTCACACTCTTTTTCACTTGCTTAAGGAATTACTAGAGAGCAGGTTTCCCCAGCTGAGGAAGACGAGTTTGAAGAGTCAGAAGGAGCAAGTGTTTCTCTTTTACTTACTGCATCAGAACACAGAAAAAGAAGCTGGAGTGAGAGGGCACAAAGAACAGAGTTTCCTTAGGCTAAAAGGAAGACAGATAATTCCTGGGTGCTCCTGCTCCCAATTCCTCCCTGTGTTTTCATAGTCAGTCCAAGTCCACTGGAGTCTGCAGCACAGCAGAGGTACGGCAAAGAGGTGCCACTTCATCCACCCCCAGCTTCCATGGCCTCCCCTTTTGCTCTTTGCTCCCAGGAGGGCTCATGTGGCCAAGTAGAGATCCAGGAACTGAATCTGGCTGAAAGCTGAGCTGAAATTAAATATATATAATATTTATATATTTGAGGACACAAGGGAGGGGTGGGAATGCATTGGCTGGGGGAAGAGTGGGACTAAGAGCTTGAAGTGAAGGACCCTGGAAGCAGATCTGAAAGCTGGTCTTGAGCTAGTCTGCAGTTTGCGCATGAAAAGTGCTTCTCAGAACTAGAGGCACTTGTAAATGAATATCATGTCCATCTCCTCCACCCTCAGTTACTCATCGCATAACCAAGCCGTCCGCCTTTAGTCCTTTTCATCTTTCTTCTTGTCAAGCCCTTTAGCCTGTCCCCCTCACCTACTCATCCCGCCAATCATTTTAATTAATCTCTGAATTTCTTTGAAACTAATAGTTTGTGGAATGGAGGAAAATGAGTAGGTTAGAAAGACAAGATTGGGAATGACGGAGGTGGGGCCAAGTTAGGAGCCTTTGCAAGACCTGTTGGGTTACCTCTGGGGCAGGACAGTAACACTTGGCTGTAAATGCAGAGAAACACTGCAGAACTAAGGGAGGAACCACTAAAAACCTTTTCCATTTTCTTAAGAATGTTCCCTGAGCAATTCAACCCCTGCGTGTTTATGTGCAGCAACACGTGAATGAAAGACTTGATATGATCATCTCTTTATCCAGTTTTCTCGCTATTACTTTTCCCATTCCCAGGTAGCTCTGTAGAGGATTTCAGTGGTTACTGAAAATGCCCAGGAATACGTTTTCAAACAAGTAATAAACTATATATTTTTTTATTCAAACTGTATGTATTTTATCATTTTTTATCAAAAACCTGACCAAATAGAAGCTAACTGCAGTGTCTAGAGATAAGGCACTCTGGGGGCTTGCTCCCCATGCTTTTTTAGGACGTTACAAATCAAAATGTCACACCATTAATGTCCCTGTGTTCATCATTTCTGTTCCATAGCATAACTGGTGCTCTGAGAAATAGAGAATTGGACAAAATTGCCATCCTGTGGAGCTTACAGTCAGAAAAATCCTCTACACACAAAGCAGGCTGAGAGAATAGCAGCTGATCTGCAGCGGGAGCCCCAGGAGTGCAGGTAAGCGGTCAAGGAGGCACTGGAGGATGGGTGGCATATGGGCAGCAGACGGCTGCCCTCAGTGTTGCGAGCTGGCAGCATGAGAACATTACCCCCACAAATAGAAGCTGCTAATGCTGAGTGGTGGGGAGGCAGATGAACACCTCTGAAAGGATATTTACTGTGTTTGGGAATGAGGATCCCACTGGAAGCCTGCATTTGTTCTGAGGTTGCTGGGCTGTGGTTTCACTGAAGAACTGAAATTTGCTTTCTGGCATTTTGATGGTCCAATAAACACATATTAAAGTCAGTAGTGGCAACAAAATGCATTGATTTATGGTTGCAATTGTGACTGAAAGGCTCAGAAGAACTGGATTTAACCCTTTGGAGCCCTTGGTGAATAGCTCAGTTTTGGTGAGGGTCTCGGAATGGGTACAAAATGCTTGGATTTTTCATTAATAAACAATATGGCATCCTGTCAAAGTTAACACCTCACTGTGTCTTAGCAGCTGTTGGAACAGTAGGCTCCTGGCAACCTGGGATAAAAGCAGTGTTTGCAACAGGAGAAGGAAAGGAAGCAAGTCTGTGTGAGACCAAAAATGCCTGGTGTAAAGCACCGTAGAGTTTAGGTATATCCAGTGAGGAATTGTGCTTTCCTTCTCTGTGCTGTGGGTTCAGGCTTGGACCTGGACACTGAGTTTCTGTCATTGAATGTCACCAGTGGCTGGTGGCTGACAGATGTAAGGACACCTGTCTGAATTAGAGTAATGTTTCTGACAGGAGTAGCAATAAACAGAGAAAGCATTGCCCAGTGAAAGTAGGTCCTGCAGGTTGCTCCTTCCCAGGGATTATAGTGGTGGAGCCTGTAGGGAAGTTTACAGAATGCCTGCTCATGGAATTCAAATGGAAGCATTCACTCTGGATGACAGTCATTTGTGTTGGAGTCATGGTGTGGGAGCACTTGGGGTTGCCAAATAGGCAAGGAAGGCATTGCAGGGAGGAAAGGGCATGGCCTGGGTGGGACAATACCTGAAAGCACAAGCAGAGTTACAGACTTGAGTTTGGGAGAAGATGCTACTGAACAGCTACTCTTAATCCCATCTGATTCATAATAAACCTGATCTCTGATTGCAGCTGATGTATCACACAGCGACTGTGTGGCTGCTCCCCACTGGTCAGGGCAGCCCTGTCCCCTCACAGGGTGGGAATATCCTGGTCTTGTCCACAGCAGCCCCTTAGGACTTCCACAGGAGAACAACCAGGATACTCACACCCCTCAGAACTGCTGTTCTTTCCTCTTTTCTTGGTTAAGAACAGTGTGCAGTTGCCAACACTACAGTGTCTATATGTGCCCTTGTTTCAGAAGGAAGCAGAGGTGGAAAATTTAGCGTGGAATTCAGTATTGATCCCTACCTGAGATCCTGGTTTTCCACAGGAACACTGCTCACATGTGTGGTGGATTGACAGATGCACTGGTCAGCTCACAGGGCTGTTTACACAGTCTGCTGAGGACATACGAAACAGATAAAAAAAGCCATAACATTTGAATACATTAGAAAAAAGTTCATGAGATCAAAGGACATTTTTTGGATAAAAGGGCAGTAATAAAGCAAAGGCCTAAGGCCTTAATGGCTGCTAATTGAAATTCAGGGTTAGTCTGAATTTTGCTTTAGTTTTTTTAGTTGTTTTTAGAGAACACAACTAGAAAGACATTCCAGAAATGGCTGTGTGGTACTTAGGGGTCTGGGTAGCAGCTGCAGCGTGCACATGTTTGCAGAGGCTTCTGTTCAGCTAAGCATGGGCTGTGGAGTCAGGTAAGTCATGTGAGAGAGGTTAAGCACATGTGTTGTAAGAGCTAATGGTACAACGTTGCCTTGTTCTCTCTAAGCATGTTTTGTGCTGATGTTTTCCAGTTGCTGCGTTCCTTACAGTCAGGATAGGAAAAGGTGTGTGGCTGGCAAAACTGCAAGCCCAGACAGAGCAGTTCTGGGTGTGGATGCTTCCAGCCTATTGCCAGGTGCTTCAAATAGGCATTTATGCCAAAGATCTGAGGTCAAGCCAATGATAGCCAATTCCAGCCCTAGGTTATTACATAAATATTAATAAGAACAGGGGTGTATTTCACATTTAGGTACTCTCTGTGAAGTATTCACCTAACCCTGTAGCAGTAATGGTGGGGAATATTTATCCCTTCAAGAAAACCAAGAGAATTTACAAAGTGAAGCAAAAATTTGTTGACCCTTTTAATATAACCTCATGAGTTTAATGAGAAGTCATCTTATTTTCTGTGTACCAGTAGAGAAATACAGGAGAACAGAATAAACTGAAATGGAACAGAAGTGCATTTTTACGGAATCCTAGACTGGTTTGGGTTGGAAGGGACCTCAAAGCTCATCCAGTTCCAACCCCTGCCACAGGCAGGGACACCTTCCACTAGAGCAGCTTGCTCCAAGCCCCTGTGTCCAACCTGGCCTTGAACACTGCCAGGGATGGGGCAGCCACAGGTTCTCTGGGCACCCTGTGCCAGCGCCTCAGCACCCTCACAGGGAAGAGCTTCTGCCTAAAGTCTAATCCAGATCCCCCCCTCCCCCCCCCCATCAGGTTAAAGCCATCCCCCCTTATCTTGTCACTATATGTCCTTATAAAAAGGCCCTCTCCAGATTCCTTGTAGACCCCTTTTAGTCTTCCCTGGTTTTGCCTCTCTGCTGCATGACCTCTAATCATTTTCTTTATCTCTGTGGCTTGATTTCACTGCCTGTAAAATGGGCATAATGGGACTGTAGTTCTAGTAAATCATGCAGGTCTATGGGGAATAAATGCTATGCAAGTGGTATACAAAGAACTATTTTTATTTTTAAAAATGCATTAAGGAAAAAGGTACAGAAAAGGAACGAAATTTTCTGGAAGAAGATCTAGGATTAACTTATTGGTATAAAATATTTGTTACTGGCCCCATTTGCTTTTAGGAGATCAACAACCATTGACATTTTTATTGGTTCATCAGCCTTATAATGCATTTTGAAGCTGACCCAGGACTGTGTAAAGCATATACTGGCACTTAAATTGATGCCATTTTCACTCTCTGGTCACTCTCTTTCTGACCAAACATCTCCCAGTTGCTCTGGGCCTGCTTTTCTGGAGAGGTTTCCTTGGTTTTCTTTACATTTAAAGTCTCTGCTGTGAGAGGCTCTGACAATGATTTGGAATTGTTAATGTCAAAAATGCTTTGTAGGATGTCATGGCAGTTGTGGTAGGGAATAGATATCCCTGTCATGGCCTCTTCCCAGAAGGGGGAAGCTGAGGCACAGCAACCAGCACCTCTCCGGATCTCCAAACCTCCAAGAAAAAGCCTTGGAATTAGTCCAAAGCTTCAACAAGATGACCACATAAAACACAGGAGGAGTTCTGCATTACGCATCCTATGGGGAAGAGAGTGAGAGCCACAGAGCTGGCAGCACTCATCCTGGGGAGGCGAAGCTCCAGCCCCCTTGGATGCTTTCACCCAGTACGCTGGCACCTAAGCTTTCTTGCCTGTTTTTACACATAGGTTAGGTTTTAAAGTGCTATGCACAGAGCAAGCATTTCTAAGGAAAACCAGGGAGTGCACAATTCCCAGAGCCGTGGGTTCCCCGAGTGTCTTGGGCCAAGAGCCTGTCAGTCAGTCCTGCCCTCTTCCGGCTCCCACGCTGTCCCCTCCCTTGCGCTGACACAGCCGTGAGGTGAAGTGTGTTGGGAAATACATCCCGTCCTAATCTAGCCCAGCAAAACATCTGAATGGCTGCGGAGGGAGGCATTTGCTTCTTTTCAGGGTGTCACCAGCACAGCCTGGATTCGAGTCCTTGTGGAGCCACCGTGTCAGTACAATTCACTGCTCCCCGGGAAAGCCAGGAGCTTCGCTAGTTTGTCCCAACAGCTTCCGGCTGAAAGAGGGTTGTGCTGCAGCTGGGAACTCAATCAGGCGAGTTTCGAAACACTCATTCATACGTGGGCCTTCCAGTCCTTAATGCGCCTTTACTACAGTCCGTGGTGCTTCCGAGCCTTGTCAACAGTGCAGTCGGACAAAGGCTGGTCTCAGGACTTCGTGTTGTGTAAATAAACCTTGTGCCTAACAGGGTGTCTCTGAGTTAATGTAAAGCCTGGAGAGGGGAGGGCGTGGGAGCAGCATGCCGGTGCTCACATTCTGTTTTCTGCACTGGATTGCAACAGGATTGCAACAGCCCAGCCTATCTGAGCTGCTGCACGTACCCTAAACATGTCTCTGCGCTTGAATTTGATAGGGGTGCCAATAGAACCAGATACCTTTCTGGGGAATGAGAATGGGCAGCAAGGTTTGCTTTTGAGGGAATGCCGAAGAAATAGCAGTTTTCTTCTTCGAGTGCTGATGCTTTCCAGGTGGCCCAGCAGGCAGCTGAACAAAGGAAATGTATATAGCAGCATCCACTCAAGGGGTTAAAGTTTTAGGGTAAGGAAAGGGAATGTTGAAAATCCCATGAACTTTAATACTTATGCCTTTGTGATAGCTGTGCCCCTTTTTTGCTTCTCACAGATCAGTAATCACAGGACAACTGACAGGAATAACCCCCCCTCTGGTAAAAATACACAACTGTTTCTGAAGCAAAGGGCATTTCATATGCAAAACTGTATGGTGAAGTACATGCTCAGGGTGCTTTTCCATGCATCAGGAAGTTTTACAAAGAGCACGCTACCTTTTAGCAAGTACTTTTCTGTTGGTTTCAACCCCCTTTGTTGTTTTCCTTCTAGGATGCTTTTTCCCACAAAAGGTGATACAAACCGTAAGAAAAGTCTCGGTAGAGTTTACTGCTCCCCCTACTCCTTTCATCCCTCCCTCCCTCTTCCCCCAAACGCTGGGAGCGCTTAAAGACATTTTAGTACCCTGGAGATTGAAAACAGTGTCTTTAACTTGTACTTGTCCTGTACTAGCTCTGACTTTCATTGCCTTGTCCTCCCCTTTACTGGGAGTACACGTGTAAGTACTCCCTCTGATGTTTCTGATGTTGTTT